TAAATAGATCCAGAGACATTGACACAGGCAACAGACAATCATATTTCAGAGGAAAGAGGGAAGAGGGGTGGAGGGTGGGAAGAGATTAACCAAAGAAGTTATATGCATATATGCATAACCCATGGACACAGTCAATAACGGGGTGAAGGCCTGGGGAGGGGGTGTGAGCAAGGTGGAGGGGGTCAACTGGGGGGGGAATGGGACACCTGTAATACTTTCAACAATAAAGATAAATTAAAAAAAAACACACACCAAAAAACAAAATAATTCCAAGACAATTTATGTGTGTTTTTTAAGTATACATTACCTGTCTTTGTTTCCCTGTACATACATATAGGTATTTGGATATAGGTACAGATACCAGCCAAACCGCTGGCATTAAAGGGAGAGAGATTTGAGATTTTTTTTCCGTAAGCACAAACTCATGCATTACATCTACAATTAAAGTACTTGTGAACAGTGTCTGTGAACAAAAGCTCTTAAGAGCACATGTGCTAAAGGACGTTGGATCAGAGGCAGCTTGGGGGTTCAGGGCATGAACCTTGGGGTAAAAAGGCTTGGTGTCCACATGACACTGGCTCTGTGGGTGTTTTGTGACCTCAGGCAAGCAGTGGCTTTGGTGGCCTCTGTGCCTCAGCCCTACAGCAGCAGAACCAGGGGTTTTCTCTCCCCAGGAACATTTGGCAATGCCTGCTGACACTTCTGGTTGTTACAACTGGGGAGGTGGGGGTTCTACTAAACATCCTACAGTACCCGGGACAGCAGCCTTCCCCTTTCGCGTACGAGAATTACCCAGCCCCAAACCTCAGAGTTGAGGCTGAGTCGCGGTGCTCTAGTAAAGGGGCTGAGCACCGAGTACAATGTGCTTCATCAGCACAGCCCTGCCCAGAACAAGCCCTCGATAAACGGGAACTACTATTTTTGACTGGACTTCCCACAAATTACAAAGCGAGTAGGGAGGAAGCGGTAGTACCTGGAACTCTAACTCTGGCCACGAGGCCCCTGCTCTTTCTAAGGGCAACCCTGGTCTCTGCAGGGCGCCTGTCTGCCAACTGAAAGTGGCCTGAGGGGCTCCTCATTCCCCCTGGGGTTTTTCATTTTTTTAGTCTCTTTCCCCGTCTCCAGTTCGAGGGCATTCCTGCGGGATTATCCTGGGCTCTTGTAGATCCAGCTCTTTCTCTGGTGGCCATCTCCCTCTGGTTCAAGAACACACTCGGGTTTCTCTTGTGGAAAACCAGAATCAAAACCACCAGCCTTCCCTTTCCCGTCTCATGAAATGAGATGCCCGCAGCGCCCGCCTCTGCCACCGCGTTTCCTCCTCTCATCCACCCCCAAGTTCAGCAAAGCTGCTTGCACCACAGGACCAGTGTCCCCCGTCCCCCCTTTGCTAGTCGTTGGCTTCACTGCTCACCTTGCACCCCTTCTTTGCTGGGCCCACTCCCTCCGACATCCATTCTGGTAACTTTCAGGCCTCTCCTCTGCTGCTCTCCCACCTCTTTCCCTGTCTGCTCCGCTCACTCACTCTCTTCTCAGCTGTTACTCAGCGGAGACCTCAGAGGCTTGGGCCAAGGCCACCCCTCTTCACCCTCCACGCCTCCGCTCCACTCGGTTCCTGAGCAATCTCGCCTCCTCCTAGATCTCAAGTCCATCCCCGGGCCCGACCATTCCTTTGAGTCCCCAAACCAGAGCGCGTACAGTTGCCTACTTGCAGTTTCTGCCGATTGTCTCAAAACCCCCTGAACTTGACACGCTCGCAACTGATCTCGTGATCTTCCCGGGGACCCTGGTCCAGTTCCAGTGCCCTCATCTCAGGGAACGGCCTTGCCGTCCGAGCGAGTGGGGAAGCCAGCAGCTCAGGGGAGTCCTCCATCCCAGCAGCACGTGTCCACATCCTGTTTTACCCCGGCACGGCCACACGACTGGACACCTAACTGGCCCCCTGCTTTCCCTTTGACCCTCTACAATCCCCCCTTCTCCCTGCAGCCTGCGGCTTATTAAAAATTACTCTCTAATCACATGACACCCAGCCCTACCTGCTGGAAACTCTCGGACCCACTGTTCTAAGGATAAAATCTAAACTCCTTCCCTTGGCCCACAAGGCCCTGCACTGCAGTCTGGCCCCTTCAAGCTTCAGACAGTGCCCAGTGTGCCCCTTTGATCTCTCGCCAACCTTCCCGGCTTCCTGCTCCTGCAGCTCCCTGGATGCCCAGCTCATCCACCTCACCTCAGGGACACCTGCCCTACCATGTCCTCGTGGCCACAGTATCTCCTCTATAGCACTCACTCACCGAGGATGGAGCTTCAGCCTTGATAAGGTGTGTGTGTGGGGGGGGGGACAGTAAGCTATGACACTGACCTGTCTTACTGCTCATCATTGTATCCCCAGCACCGGGACACTTCTTACTCACTAAATATCAGAGTGGTCAGCATTCATGATTATAATCTCTGAGCAGAATCAGGCAAACAGCAAACTCTGGACTGGTCCCAGAGGACCTTCTGGACCCAAACTCTGTCAACCCCCACCCTCCCCTTGCCCAGGTGACTTACCCGACTTGGGCATCACCTGAGCCAATTCTTGACAGAAAACCCAGGTGTGGAAGGAGGCCTGGATGCACAGTGGGGGTCGGGGCTTTTGCTACATGGGCTGAGTTTTTCACTCCACTGGTCTGGCTGCAGGGGTCGGACAGGCAGTGCCTCTCTTAGGAACACCCAGTGGCCAGCTGAGCAAAGCAAAAGCCAAGTGCTTGAAGCAACACGTGGAGGAGCTGAACCCCCACAAGAAAGGGAGGCCCCAAGAAGCCACAGTGTCCCAGACAAATAAGAGACAACCACCAAGGTTTAGTTCTTGAATATGTATTTTTTACTGAAAAAATCATTCATAAATTAACATACAAAAATGTACAAACACATGAGTAAATAATGTAATGACAAAGAACTATCTTTGTGAAAGTGTTTTTTAAAACATCTTTAGATTTCAGTGCAAAAATGTACCCCTGGCACCTCTTAAAACGTAAGAGCAAGCTCGAAAAACGTAGTGATGGAAATAAGCTAGCTACGTTCAATGTCATCGTCAATGGTGAGTGGATACAATCAATACATGTGGCTGTTGCTCAGCTATTCATGTCTGTGGCAGAGGAGCTCTAGCAAGAGTCCCTATAATGTCAAAATGAATATTTTTGCAAATAACCCACCCCCCAAAAAAAGTGTGAAAGGAGAAACCTTTCCCCACACTCAATAATCAAAGACAAGAATGATTTAAGGGGTCCCCTATCAGTAGCCTTAAAGAATTTCAGCTGCCAAAATATGCACAAGGTCACATTTGGTTCTTTTTTTTTTTTTTAACATGAGAATTTCACACCATTAACAGCACTCGGGCCTGGCTGTACGTTCTCAACATTTTAGTTTCCCACACAGTACTCAGCATGGTGAATAAATGATCAACAGTGCACAGTAAGAGAGTTCACAATAATGATACGAACTTACACATGATTGCAAGATAATTTAAGTGACCCTGCTTCATGAGACCTTTCCTTTTTGCCCTCAATCCAGCAATTTCTTTTTTAAGTCAGGTGTTAGCCTTTTGCTAACATTTGGTTCTTGGTGGTAAATGTTAATAAAAAAGCTTAAAAGAAGATCACTTTACAACACTGCCAAGTATCAAGCAGTCTGTCTTGGTCAATTCTTCCAAATGGCATCATAGTTTTGTCACACAGAGCAGCTCAGCCTTCGGTGACGAAGGAGGGAAGGCAAATGAGAAGGTGAGAAGCCAAGGCCAGCACAGAGGCCT